CACGACAGCAAGGCACGACGGGCCGACACGACACGACGGGCACTTCCTCACGACAAGAGCGCGGCGCTCCTCGGTCTTGTCAGGTCAGATTCCTCCTCCTCCTCCTCCATCCCCCCTCCTCCTCCTCCTCCTCCTCCTGACCTCCTCCTCCTCCTCCCCCTCCTCCTCCCCCTCCTCCTCCTCCCTCCTCCTCCTCCTCCTGCTCCTCCTCCTCGGCCCTCCTCCGTAGCCGTTTCGGCTCGAGCTCCGCCGCGGGGGATGGCCTCTGCGGGCGGGGTGGGCTTCCCCCCGCCCCCGCCGCACTGGCGGCTCTTCCGGCAGGGGGGCGGCACGCGCGTGGCGCCGCCGCGGCCGCCGACGGGGCCGCTGCACGTCTTCGGCGAGGAGCTGTCGCTTGAGCACGCACCGCCGCTGCTGGAGGCCGACGAGGTGCTCTACGACGCGGAGGCCGAGGACCCGCGGGAGGAGCTGCTGCGGCTCCACCGGGAGCTTCGGGGGAGGAACCACAGCGATGCCGCGACCCTTCCCTCGTCGTGTCCCCCGTACAGTGCCCTTTTTAAAACATGCTCCGCGTGCGGATCATGTATTAAAAATGCAGGGATTTAGTATTAAAGGCAAGGATGAGTTCATGCATCAATTTATTCATACATTAATCATGTAATAAAAATCCTACTAAAAAAATCCGATGTATTAAACACTGCCCTGTACCGGGCCTCCTGGGAGACCGTCGGCGCCACGGCCGGATTCGCCTCGAAATGCTGGTCCGAACGCACTCGGGGCGAGGTCCAGGGAGTGGCGGTATCGGTACCTCTTGGGATCCCCAGGAGCAGCGCGCCTGCTCCGTGGCGCTGCTGGAGTGCCTGGTGCTCGGCATCGCCTCACCGATCCCCGTCCCCTTCGGGCCACGGTGCACAGACATCCGGCGCCTCGAACAATTCGGACGGAGTTTTTTCCTCGTGTGCGGCCTCTTGGGGCCCGTCACTGGGCCTCGGGGCCGTCAGAAAAGGGCTCGGGTTGAAGGACCAGCCCCGGGGAAGTGGTCGAGAGGTGGGGGTCCCGTGTCTCGAAACAATCGAGGTGCCAATTGTCTGGGCATCTTGGCCCCACGATCCCCCGCGAAACCGACGGGAAGTGCTCACATCCCCAACTGTCAGGGGGGGATCCTGCCAGTGGGGCCGAGGCCACGCCGGTGGGGATATAGGGATTCAGACGCCCGTCGTCTCGACTTGTTCGAGACACGGCCCCCGAGGAGGAGGAGGAGGAGGAGGAGGAGGAGGAGGAGGAGAACGAGGAGGAGGAGGAGGAGGAGGAGGAGGAGGAGGAGGAGGAGGAGGAGGAGGACCTCTCGAACACTTCCCCGGAGCCGATTTTTCGCCCCGTGTCTGTTGTGGGCGGGCCCGAGGCCCAGCAGGGGCCCCTGCAGGGGCCGAAGACTACGAGAAGCCTGCGTCCTGCTTTCCGCTCGAGGCGCCGGGCGCCTGGGGATCGGTTGGACGCTGCTCAGGTGCGGAGGCCAGAGGACCACCCCGCAGAGCTGCGGCGGCTCGCCCAGCTGGTGCGCAACCAGGCCGCGCTGCTGCGCCTGCTGCGGGCGCGGGAGGCGCGGGCGCTGGTGGTGCAGCGCCTTCGCGAGCAGGCCGACGAGAAGGTGCGCTTCGTCGAGGCGGCCGAGGCCGCGCTGCCGCGCCTCGAGGCCAAGGTCTGGCAGCTCTGCCCGCCGGCGCCGGGCGAGCCCGCGGGCCCGCCCGCAGCAGGCGGCGCGGCGGGCGCGGCGGGCCGGCCGCGGGCGGAGGGCCCGCCCGAGGGCGGCCCGTCGCCTGCGGAGGGCAGCCGCGTGACGGAGCTGCACCTCCTCCTCCAGGCGACGGTGTGCCGGCTGCACGACGCCATCTACGTGCTGCCCCGCCACCTCTCGATGATCTTCGGGGCGCGTGTCAGCCCAGCGTGTGTCTGTGTCTCTGTGTCTCTGTGTCTGTGTGTCTCTGTGTCTCTGTGTCTGTGTGTCTGTGTGTCTGTGTCTTCTGTGTGTGTGTGTGTGTCTGTGTCTTCTGTGTCTGTGTCTGTGTCTGTGTCTGCGTCTGTGTCTGTGTCTGTGTCTGTGTCTGTGTGTGTGTGTGTCTGTGTGTGTGTGTTTGTGTTTGTGTCCGTACGTTCGTGTGTGCGTGCGTGCGTGCGTGTGCGTGCGTGTGTGTGTATATATGCGTGTGTGTATACCCCGTTCGTGTGTGTACCCCGTTCAGCTCTATCGACCGATCACAACATCGCCGGCGCCGTATCGGGGGGCCGCGATGGAGACGCACACATCGGCGCTGACACACGATCTGACGATCATCGAACCTCGCGGGCGGCGCCCGCGAGGGCGCCGCGGCGCCCACGGTGGAGGGCTACGCGGAGGACCTGGTGGCCGCGAGCCGCAGGCGCCTGGAGGAGCAGCGAAGGTCACGAAGAGACACATTCGGAGGCCCGCGCGGATTTCCCCCCCCCTCTCTTCTCCTCCCTCCTCCATCCTCCCTTCTCCTTCCCTCCTCCTCCTCTTTCTCCTCTTCTCCTCCTCCTCCCCTCCTCCTCCTCCTCCTCCTCCTCCTCCTCCTCCTCCTCCTCCTCCTCCTCCTCCTCCTCCCTCTCTTCCTCCTCCTCCTCCTCCTCACCTCCTCCTCCTCCTCCTCTCCTCCTCCTCCTCCTCGCTCCTCCTCCTGCCTCTCCTTCCTCCTCCCCTCCTCCTCCTCCTCCCCCTCCTCCCCCCTGCAATGCCATCGGCGCCGGCCCCCCTGCCTGGGCGCGCGGAGCGCGCCCAGGGCGATGCCCGAGGCGCCGCCAGGGGGGGGGCCCGGCGCCGAGCCAGGAAGGCCGCGCGGAACTCCCAAAGTTCGTGCTCGTGCAGTTTCCCGTGCCTCTTGGTCTAAGTTTAGGTCGGGCCTGTCCCCCTACAGGGGGATTTTCGACGAAAAATAAAAATACCCCAAGCGCACTCCAAAAAGGTTAAAAAAAAATACTCAAAGAATAGTCCCCAGACTATGTTTGTTTTATTTTCTTTATATTTATTTTTGATGTTTTTTTCATTTAATCGCTTCGCTCATTCCGCCGGCCCTGGAGCGCTATTTGGGGCCTCTTGGGGCCGTCTTGGGGGCTTCTTGGGGGCTTCTTGGGAGCGTCTTGGGGCTCCTTGGCGGCGTATTGGGCTCCGCTGGGGCCTCTTGGGGGGCTCTTGGGGGCCCCTTGGGGCGGGAGGGGAGGTAGTCGTTGGCAGCCCCCCCCTCGGAGGCCACGATCCTCGTGAGGGGTGGCGAAAAATACCCTCCCCCCTGGGGATCGGGGGTCAGCCGGGGATCGGCCGGGGTACTTTTCGTCCGGGGCCCCCCAGGGGCCGCCCCGCGCGCGCGAACTAGAAATATTGTTAAGTCGTTACTGGAGATCTTAGCACGCCTCTGGCCCGTTGGGCCGGCGAGTTTTTCGTCGAAAATCCCCCTGTAGGGGGACAGGCCCGACTCAATTCTAAGTCGGGCACGTCCCTCTACAGGAAGGATATTCAAAAACAGTGGGACGATGTTTCGAGCATTATTCGTTTATTTTTGAGCATTCTCCGGGTATTCTTTCATCTTTCGTCCACAAGCCGCCTGTAGGAGGGACACGCCCCGACCTAGCTCTAGGTCTTGGCATCGCTCGGACGCGTGATTCTCTCCTGGGCGAGGGCCATCCAGGAGCATCCTGGCTCACCCGGCAACGGACAAGAAAACAACGCGCCCAAGACCGACCCACGTGCACGGGGAATTTGTGGGCGTCCGAGCGATGGCGAGGCTTCGCTCGGACGTGTGCATTTTTCTTTCGGCGAGGACCATCGAGGAGCATCCTTGACCATTTGGCGAAAAAAACCACGCACGAAACCGAAAAAAGCACACGGAATGGACGTCCGAGCGATGGCGAGGCGAGGCTCCCTGCTCCCCTCGAGGTTCGAGGCCCTGGTCCGGGACCTGCCCCCGCAGCTCCACCGCGGCCCCGCGGGCGGCGCGGAGGCGGCCGAGCTGGCGCCCCTCGTGCAGCAGGACGCCGCGGCCACGGAGCAGCTGCGCGCCCTCGGGCGCGGGGGAGGGGGCGGAGGCCTCCGCGCGCGGGCGTCGGCGGCGGCTGCGGGCCGCCTGCGCGGCCCGCCTGCGGCGGCGGGCGGCCCCCGGCGGCGAGCCGGAGCTGCCGCGCGCGCCCGCGCGGCAGCCGCCCGGGCGCGGCGCCGAGGCAGCTCGCGCCGCGGGCGCCGGGGGGCCGCCCGCGGCCCGCCCGAGCAAAAAGGGCGCACACGACATACCCCACAGCCCCGGGCGGGCGAGCGAGGTCCTGGCCGTGGGTCTGGCATGCCCTGACCTTCCAGGGGGGCCTAAAAATAGCACCCCCGACTTTAAAAGGCCGATGCCACAGCCATTCTACGTCTCGGGTTGGGGCTGCTTCGCTCCGTGGTTTAGGTTTTCAGGCCTCCAGTGCTAGAAACTAGCTCTTTGGAAGGTCTGGCATGCAGAATGCCCTCCCTGGGGCGTGGGCCAGGGCGGTGGAATCTGACTGGGGCGGGGAGGGTGTGGTGTATCGGAGGCCCGGAGGTTGGCACCAGCACCAACGATCGGAGGTGTGCCCCCACCGAGGGAAGCTGATCCCAATCTCGGTGATGGTGGTAATGATTAGGTTGCCCAGGTGGCCCAAAGATTGCCACCAACCCCAAAATAATCTGGGATCCTCCTCCCTTGGGGAACGCAACCCCCTGTTTTGGTGTCGGTGTCCATCTCCAAGCCTCCGAGTATAGAACAGAACTTCTGGAGGATACGGGCGCGGCGCCGCCCGCACGGCTTCAGGACCTGCGGAAGGACCGCTCGCGGCGCTTCGCGGAGGACCGCGGGAGGAAGAGGCACCCGTACCGCCGCCCCTGCCTCGGTTTCCCCTTTCTTCGGGCCTCCTGGGAGGCCCTTCGCCGCTACCGCTGGGTTCGCCTCGGAGTCTGGGGCAGAGCGCACCCCGGCAGAGGTCTGGGGAGGTGTAGCGGCATCTGTGCCTCTTGGCTTCCCCAGAGGAGCTGGAGTTCGTGCAGTGCCTCGCGAATCCAGACTACGTGCACTGGCTCTCCCGGAGAGAGAGGGAGACTCCTCGGCGGGGGCCGCGGCAGTCGGTGGATGTGGGCGTCTTCGGGCCCCGGGATTAGGTCGGGCCTGTCCCTCTACAGGAGGGATATTCGAATACAGTAGAAAACAGCCCGGGGACGATGGTTGAGTATGTTTGGGCATTGTTTGCTCGTTTTTCGACTATGTTTATAATGTTTCGTCCAAGCTGGTAGGGGGGACATACCCGACCGAACCCTGGGAGCGGGACAGTGGCATCCATATCCGCCACCTGCCGAGGTCCCCGAGGATCGACCCGCCCAGGCGGTGCACCTGGAACACGCCCCCGCCCCGCAAAAGAAACGGCATGAGCACAGGACCTCCAGAGAGCCGCGCGGGGCTCCTCGGGTCGGCGCTGGTGGCGCTGCCACGGGCGGGGGGGGGGGCGGGCCTACAGTCGGGGCCCTGAAGAAGGAACCCTTTTCGTTGGGGAGGGGCTCCGTGTTCCTTATGTGTTTCACAGCTTGCCTCAGGCTTTCCTTATGTTTTCGACAGGAAATCGAAGGTTAACTTATGGAAAAAAGGGGCCTCGTTCCTTATTTAGGTTCCTTAGGTCAACGCCCCGACTGTAGCTCTGTGTGGTCCGTCCTGCCGCCAGGCTCGCCACCCAGGGGTGCCTCGACGAGCCAGAGTTCCTGGAGTTCCTGCGGTACCTCCGGTACTGGCGGGAGCCGCCCCACGTGCTCTACGTCGTGTACCCGCAGTCGCTGCGGATGCTGGAGATGCTGCTGGAGCCCGGCCTGCGGTCCCGGCTGCGCCGGCAGGACGCCAGGTCGGGCGTTGCTTCACAAGCTTCAGTCGGGCATTTCCTATCTGCAGGAGGGCTATTCTCGAGAGTAGTCAAAAAATAACATGGTGATGATTTTTCGTGCTCTTTTGGCTATGTTTGATTCGTTGTTTGACTATGTGACAATGTGTGATTTTTCTTCCAAAATCCGCCTGTAGGAGGGCATGCCCGACCTGATAAGGCGGTACTCGACGGGGGGTGGGACGGGAGGTGCCCCTCTTGTGCACCTCAGGGGTTAGGGGCCCAAGTGGGCTCCCCCCTGGGGCGCCAATGGGGCATGGAAGGTGCATATCTATTTTGAGCAACCGCAAGTTTCTTTTTAACATAAAAGAAAACATACGTTTTCTGAGGTCCGCGCTGTTGGCTTGGCTCTGGACCCGCCTCCCTGGCGCGCGGAGCACGCCAGGGGGCTCCAGCGCCGATCCAAGAGATCCGCGCGGACCTCCGAAAGTTTCTGTTTTGTGCCCTTTTCTGTTCCTCTCTTCTAGCCTCCCCCTGTTTTCAGTGGGGGCGTTGGTTCAGGAATGTGCCCAGGAGGCTTCAGACCCTGGAGGATTCCTTATCCGAGACGGGTGACGGTGCTGTCCACGGCCAATCCACGCTTGGAGCTCCAGTGGTTTCCAGCCCCTGGGTTCCTTCTCTAGTGTTCCTTGTCCACTGGGTTCCTTCTCCAATAGTTCCTTCAGAGGAGCATGAGGTCATGGTAATGATGCGTTCCAAGATTTCCAGGATTTCTCCGATTTCCTCATGTCCCGCACAGGCTGCAGCAACGTGGGCCGCCAGATCCCCTGGAAATAATGGAAGGTATCCTGAGCCACTCTTATCATCGTCCTGTTCCTTGCGCAACGCCCCGCCAGGGCCCTGCCGTCGTCGCAGCAGCTGCGGGCCCTGGAGGTCTGGACCACTTCCCTGGGGCCAGTTCTTCTCCCCGAGCCGTTTTTGGGACTGTCCCGAGGCCTGGCGAGGACCCCCCTGGAGGCCAGAAACGGCCAGAGACTCGCCGCTCCTTGCAGACTGCGCCCTACTGCCTCCGAGAGGCTGTGCTGACCACGGGGACATCCGAGTGTTCGTCGTCGTCCCCGTTGTCGTCGTCGTCGTCGTCGTCGTCGTCGTCGTCGTCGTCGTCGTCGTCGTCCCTCCTCTGTCCCCCTCTGCATTCCCTTCCTCCCCGGAGCAATGGGCGAGAGAGAAGCAGCCGGTTGCTTGTTCTAGCTCTGAGCCCACGAGCTCCTGATTGTCAAAGCCGCCATCGAGAACCCCGTAGACGCGCTAACGGTGTGTTAGCTAACGGCAAAGTAGGAAACCAATTGTAGGAAGGCGTGGTCCGTGGCCAAACCGATTGTAGGAACGCGTGGTTCGCGTTTTCCCGCAACTCGCTGTGTCGCTCTCGTTCGACACATGCGCATGTGTGACATGTAGGAAACGGTGTCTCGTGATTTCCTAGATTTTGTCTTGCGTGAGCTCGGTGCCTCAGAAAGAAGATCCCCAACGGCACCGTTCACTTCGGATGCAACTCCTAGGAGGTCAAATTCTGTTTTTGCCCTGGTCCGAAATCCGGCTTAATCCGACTTCATCCCGCTCAATCCCGCCTAATCCGGCCTAATCCCGTTCAGTCCGAGGCCCACTCCGTCGCAATAGCCCCCCTAAATGGGGCTTAGTCCTCCTGCAGTTGCCTCCTGAGTTCACCACGCGCGCCGTCAGCGCGGCCCTGGGCACCGGCGGGGGGCAGCGTCGGATCCCTGGCCTGCGCGGCGCCCCGCCAGGGCCCTGCTGTCCTCGCAGCTGCTGCGGGCCTGGGCCTCCGCCCCGGAGCGGCCCCTGGCCCCGCCCGCCGGGGCCCGCCCGGCACCAGAGCGGCCCGCGCTTCCCGAGGCCGCCGCCGCGCCCGCGCCCGCCGCCGCGGGCGGCGCGGCGGGCGGCGCCCTGGATCAGGAGAGCTGTTTTTTTTTTTTTGGAGGGGGGGGGTGCTCACTCCTTCTCGTCTCCTCCATCTCCTCCTCCTCCCTCCTCCTCCGCCTCCTCCTCCTCCTCCTCCTCCTCCTCCTTCTCATCATCCTCATCCTCCTCTCCTCCGCTTCGTCCTCGTGCTACTCGTACGATTTGTGGGGGGGCTTACTCCTTCTCGTCCTCCGGCCTCCCTTCTCACTCCTCCTCCTCATCCTCATCCTCATCCTCGTGCTCGAAATCCCAGACTCCTTCTCCTCTCCTCAGTCTCTTTCCTCCCTCCTCCCGCACGGCAACCAGAGCGGCCCGCGCTTCCCGAGGCCGCCGCGCGCTCCGCGCCCCGCGCCGCGGGCGGCGCGGCGGGCTGCGGCCTGGATCCAGGAAGAGCTGACGAAGTGGGGTGGGGGGGGGGCTTACTCCTCCCCCTCGATCCTCCTCCTCCTCCCCCTCCGTCCTCCTCCTCCTCCTCCTCCTCCTCCTCCTCCCTCCTCCTCCTCCTTCCCTCCGCTTCGGTCCCTCGTGCTTATCACTCCTCCTCCTCCTCATCCTCGTCCTCGAAATCCCCATCCTCCTTCTCCTCTCCTCATCTCTCCTTCTTTCCTCCTCCCTTCCTTCCTTCCTTCTTCCTCCTCCACTTCCCCCTCCTCCTCCTTCTCCTCCTCTTCTCTACTTTTTGTCCTCGTGCTTGTCCTCCTCATCTCCTCCTCCTCCTACCTCCTCTCCTCCTCTTCGACATCTCTTCGTCGTGCTCGTCTACCTCCTCCTCCTCCTCCTCCTCCTCCTTCTCCTCCTCATCCTCATCCTCATCCTCGTCCCCTCTTCTCGTCCTCGTCCTTGTGCTCGTGCTCGTCCTCCCTCCTCTCTTCTTGCTCGTCCTCCTCCTCCTTAATCCTCCTTTTCTTCCTCCTCCTCCTCATCCTCGCCTCCTCCCCCCCTCCTCCTCCCTCTCTCCTCCCTCTCCGTCCTCCGCCCTCCCGCCATCCTCTCCCTCCTCCTCCTCCTCTTGCTCCTCCTCCTCCCCCTCCTCCTCCCCCTCCTCCTCCTCCTCCTCCTCCTCCTCCTCCTCCTCCTCCTCCTCCTCCTCCTCCTCCTCATCATCATCATCATCATCATCATCATCATCATCATCGGCATCGTCATCACCCTGGGCATCATCATCAGCAGCAGCAGCAGCATCATCATCATTATCATCAGCAGCATCATCATCACCATCACCATCATTGGCATTATCAGCAGCATCAGCAGCATCATCATCACCCTGAGCATCAGCATCGTCATCATCAGCATCACCATCACCATTATCATCATCATCATCATCATCAGCATCAGCATCAGCATCATCATCATCATCATCATCGTCTGCATCATCTTCATCATCATCACCACCGCCATCATCATCATAATCATCACCAGCAGCAGCATTATCATCAGCAGCATCAGCATCAGCATCATCATCATCAGCATGCTCATCACCACCACCATGATCATCATCATCATCATCATCATCATCATCATCATCATCATCATCATCATCAGCATCATCATCTTCATCTTCATCTTCATCATCATCATCAGCATCATCATTGTCATCATCATCATCATCATCATCATTATCAGCGTCATCACCATCATAAGCAGCACCAGCAGCATCATCATCCTCATCATCATCAGCATCGTTATCATCAGCATCGGCAGCATCATCATCATCTCTCCATCCCCCCGTCCTTCCTTTAGTCCTTCCTTCCTTCCTTCCTCCTTCCGCTCCCCCTCCTCCTTCGGCACACCCCTCACGAGGATCGTGGCGACATAGGGAGCTCCACCGAAGGCGCCAGTGGCAGGGTTCGCATGGCGGTCTCGGGCCATTTCGGCACACCCCTCACGAGGATCGTGGCCCCATAGGAGCTCCAGCGAAGACGCCAGTGGCAAGATTCGCATGGCGGCCTCGGGGCATTTCGGCACACCCCTCACAAGGATCGTGGCCCCATAGGAGCTTCAGCGAAGGCGCCAGTGGCAAGATTCGCATGGCGGCCTCGGGGCATTTCGGCACACCCCTCACAAGGATCGTGGCCCCACAGGAGCTCCACCGAAGGCGCCAGTGGCAGGGTTCGCATGGCGGTTGCGGCACACCCCTCACGAGGATCGTGGCCCCATAGTTGTGCTGTTTCAACAACCGCGCCTGGGCGTCGTTCTCCGCCTTGTCGACGTGCAACTCCACCTCCTCCCTCATGGCTCCCAAAGCCCTCTCCTGCTTCTGCTCCTCGGTCAGAGGGACGGCGTCATTGTCGTCGTCGGCGCCCGCGAAGACGGCCACGAACGTGTTCCTGAGCATGTCGGGCTCCGGCGGGTAGCCGTGGCCACAGAGGGAGCGCGGGCGAAGATGGTATTCACAATTGCGGTAGTTACAACTGCATATGGTTGGGTCCTTCGCCAGGCTAATTTAAAGCGCTTTTAGCTTGTGAAGAACCCAAAACACGAAACGGTAGCAAAAAAACGCCCAAAGCGTTCTTACCAAGAACCAATGCCACGTGGACCTTCTGAGAAGGCATGTTCCTTCTCACTTTTCCCCTCGTTCGCCGCCGAACTGCACCACGCGGCTGGCCTGGAGCAGAACCCCATCCAGCGGAGTCTCCCCTTCCGCTTGTACTCCCGCGCGCGCGGAGGGCGTGGCGGCGGTGGCGGCGGCGAAGGCGACGACGGCGGCGACGGCGACCGCGACGGCGACTACGACGGCGATGGCGACGGCGACTAGGACGACAGTAAAGACGACGACGCGAAGATGACGACGACGACGTTGACGCTCTGGAGCCGAAACCTTCTCTTGAGACCGTTTTCTTCAGTTCTGGCCGGTAAGCGGCGGATTGAGCTCCACACCGGCTCGGGGCAGTCTGTGCTGCCCAGTGGGAGAGAGAGTGAGAGTGAGAGAGAGCGAAGGGGGAGCGCAGGAGGCAGTTTTGTTTCCAAGCCCTCCTGTTGAGCTGGGTATTGGTTTTGAATCCGCAGCGCCGCGCCTTCCTTCCTCCTCTCTCCTCCTCCTCCTCCTCCTCCTCCTCCTCCTCCTCCTCCTCCTCCTCCTCCTCCTCCTCCTCCTATTCCTCCTCGTCCTTCCTCCTCTTCCTACTCTCCTCCTCCTCCTCCTCCTTCTCCTCTCCTCCTCCTCCTCCTCCTCATCCTCCGTCTCCTCCGCCTCCTCCTCCTCCGCCTCCTCCTCCTCCTCCTCCTCCTCCGCCTCCTCCTCCTCCTCCTCCTCCTCCTCCTCCCTCCTGTCCCCATAGGCTGGCGATAACGGGCTCGAGCTGGGGAGTGATTGTGGGGGCCTCCCTTGCGCGATTCTCCTCCCATCCCCGATTGTCCTTCAATCTCGCGTCCTTTTCCCAACCCTGATCCTCGACGCTGTCGTCATCGTCATTGTCGTCCTCGTCGTGCATCTCCCTCTCGCGGACACCCCTCCCCGCACCCTGGTGCGTTGCTGCTACCTTCTTCCTCCGCTTCATCTCGAGGCCGTTTTTTGTTCACTTGGTAATAGCATGTGTGACGAAGGGAGGATTGCGGCCGCGTCACGACTCGCGCCGGCGCCGCCTGAAAATGTCCAGAAATGGCTCATTCCCAGACGGCGCTCGCGCGAAGCGTGGCGTGACCGTGGGGGCGGCGCCGGGGTCGGTCACGGCCGGTGTCGCGAACAGCAAGAAGTGGCCCCAGTGGGACGTGCGGAGCGACTGGACGCGGCTCGCGGGCGTCGTCGCAGACGCCGCGTGGCACGATACCGGGGAAGAGCAGACGGCACACAGTCGGATCGAGGTCTGAGATCGAGGTCGGCTCGGGGAGGCTACCTTCGTGTGCTTCGTGTCTTTTGGCTGCTCTTGTGCACCCTGGGGGAGGATACCCTCGGATGTTCTGTTTGTTTTGGCCGACGGAGGGTCTCATGTTCTCGAGGGATGCTCTTCTGGCCTAGGTCTGGGCGCACCTCCTCCTCCTCCTCCTCCTCCTCCTCCTCCTCCTCCCTCCTCCTCCTCCTCCTCCTCCTCCTCCTCCTCCTCCTCCTCCTCCTCTCCTCCTCCCTCCTCCTCCTCCTCCTCCTCCTCCTCCTCCTCCTCCTGCTCCTGCTCCTGCTCCTCCTCCTCCTCCTCCTCCTCCGCCTCCTCTTCCTCCTCCCTCTCCTCCTCCCTGTCCTCGAGGGACGTTCCTCTGGCCTGGGTCCGACCTTCGACGCAGACTTTCGGCGGCCCCGCGAGGGCTTCTCGGCGCCGGGCGCCGGGCGTCGGCGCGCGGGCACTCTCCGCGCGCCACTTGGCGTCGCTCGGACGTGCGGATGTCCAAGCGGTGGCGGAACGTCCTGGCGCGCCCATAGGCCTACCAAACAATGATCTAAGAACCTGCTGTGGGTTCTTAGATCATTGTTTCTCTTGCCTCCGTCCCCCCTCCGCTTCTCTTCCCCCCTAATCTGCAGAGGCGGCAGTGTTGCTGCTGTTCGTGAGTCGTAGTCAGTCAGTTCACACGTTGCTCTATCGCGTCACAAACAAACAAACCTGCTGTGGTTTCCACGAAATGGTCTCAGAACATTTCTGGCTGGGACTGTGTAGTTTTAATAAATCGGGTTTATGTTCTAAGAACGTTGCTTTTGTTATTAGAACATTGTTTGGTTCTAAGAACATGTCGTGGTAGGCCTATAGGAATGCCGCGACGGTCGGTCCCTGCTCAAACGTGGGGATGTTTTCCTAGCGGGGACCATCGGGGCCATCCTGGATCATCTGGGCGACTCAAAAAAAGGGGTCGTCGGTGCCGACATTTGGCGCGCAAGCTGCCCGCGTAAGCTCGCGCGTAAGCGCCCTCGTCTCCAATGTAGCGGGCCGCGCTGGCGGCCCGCGTAATTAAGCCGCCGCGTGAGGTCGGTATGTCATCGCGCGTAAGACCCGTTTTCGACCGTCGATCATCTGGCAAAAGAAAGCACACACGGAACCGAAACATGCTCGGGGAGTGGACGTCCGAGCGATAGCAAGGCCAGGGAGAAAGTGCCCAGCGCCGGTCCAGGAAGTCCGCGCGGGCCTCCAAAGGTTCAGGTCGATGTCGTCCGCTCTGCCTCGGCGAGAAGACAGAGAGGCTGGAGGGCAGGGAGTTCACCATTCAGACCGACGCCCAGGCCATCGCGAGGAGGTGCCTGTACAACAGCAGGAGGGCCGAGGGCGCGTTCGTGGGCTCCACGCCGCAGGAGGTCGAGAGCGAGCTCGCGCGCTTCGTGGAGAAGTACGCGCCGACGTGGGTGGACCCGCTGGGAGGCAGCGGCGGCGAAATCCGAATCCTACACTCGCCGATCAAAGATTCAGGCGACTGGATGGGCGGCAGGGGTAGGGGCCTGAATTCGTCGAGCACGTGGCGACATTCCCGGCCCCGCCTCCCATCGATTCGTGATAATCGATGCCGGTAGGGGGTACAGTGGGGGCCCATGCCGAGAAACACCCTGCTTGCCTCCAGGGGGCCCTGGGTTTCTTGGGTTCCGATGGCTCTGTGAGGGAGAGCGCTACACACCAAAAATCCATGGACGTCCTGGGGCCTCAGGTTAAGATGTTCCAACCTACTTTAGCCTTGACCGCCAGAAAGAATTTCGAGCACCAAGAAAGTACCGAGACTGGGAGCTTTCACGTCTCGGGCCCTGGGAGGCGATGTTCGTTCGACACTGCTTCGACACTTTCCTGGGTGCTCGAAGTTATGTCCGGGAGGCGGTCCTGAAGTGCGGTGGGAACAGCAGAAGTCTCAGGGCTGGGCTTCTCGTGGAGGGTCTCCTGTGGACTGGCCCTGGCATCGCTCGGACGTGCGCATGTTTCCTTCGGCGAGGACCATCGAGGACCATCCTTGATCCTTTTACGAAACAGCCACGCACGACACCGACAAAAAACACAGGGAATGGACGTCCGAGCGATGGCCGGTGGCCTCCGCTGCCAGGGGGTGCGGACGCCGCCCCCCCGAGGCAGCGACCTCGGGGACCTGCTGGCTGCCCGCGACCTGCCGGCGCCCAGGCCCGCGGCCGCGGCTGCCCGGGGGGCGCTGCCGGGCCCCGGCGCTGCTGGCGCACAGGACTCGGGCGCAGCCAGAGGTGACCCATCGAGTGTTCAGTCGGGCACGTCCCTCTGCAGGGGATACATTCAGAAATAGGCAAACAAAAATAGTACGGGGATGATGCTCTGCTTATGTTTGAATGTTTTTTGGGGGATGCTTTCAATTTTCTCGTCCCACAGCCACCTGTAGGAGGACACGCCCGACCTAAATCGAATGGTCTGCACGAACGAAACTGGTACGGAAAGAATGGGTACAATGCCCAACAGCAGTTCCTGTTCATTTGAAGAGGACTCGCTGTCCGCGCCGCCTCGGCCTGTGTTCATTTGAGACAGAAGGCCGCCTGCCCAACAGCGGCCGCTGTTGGTTTGGGACAACATTTGTTGTTGGGCATTGTACCTACTTTTCCAATTTTTTCCATACCCCATGTTGGGCGTCCAAAAATGAGCAGCGATAGGGGGGGGATCGGCTCAGGGCTCCAGGGGGGATGTCTCGACCCCCGAGCGCCCATCCACCGCCGATGGGGGCCCGGTAGGACGCCCCGCCCAGGGAGGTGCGGATTCGCTCTCGGGGGCCCATCGCCGACCTGTCGGCGATGCAGCGCCGAGTCAGAGTCGATGTTCCCCCCTCCTCCTCCTCCTCCTCCTCCTCCTCCTCCCTCCTCCTCCTCCTCCTCCTCCTCCTCCTCCTCCTCCTCCTCCTCCTCCTCCTCTCCTCCTCTCCTCCTCCTCCTCCTCCTCCTCCTCCTCCTCCTCCTCCTCTCCTCCTCCTCCTCCTCCTCCTCCTCCTCCTCGGGGACACCTTGGGGATCCTCGACCCCCCCGAACAGGCTCTGCCTGGCGCTGGCCCGATGACCCAGCCCGGGGCCCATCTGGGCCAGCTTCTGCCGCCGATCGGTTCTGGACGGCCCTCAGGGGCCCAGAATTGGGCCCCTTTAGGCCGAAGATGGGGAGGAGGAGCAGAAGAAGGAGGATAAGGAGGGAGGAGGAGGAGGAGGAGGAGGAGGAGGAGGAGGAGGATGGGAGAGGGAGGAGAAGGAGAGAGGAGGAGGAGGAGGAGGAGGAGGAGGAGGAGGAGGAGGAGGAGAGGGAGGAGAGGAGAGGAGGAGGAGGAGGAGGAGAGGAAGGAGGAGGAGGAGGAGGAGGAGGAGGAGGAGGAAGAGGAGGAGCAGAGGGAGGAGGAGGAGGAGGAGGAGGAGGCCGAATATGGCGACAGACCTTGATCCCTTCCGATTCTCTCTGGCAGCCTCCGAAGAGGACCGCCCTGACCCGGATGCAGCACGGGCACCGGCGAAGCGCGCGCGCATCGCCGACGACGTCCCGTTGCCAGCCGGCCAGCGGCTTTCCTCTCACGTATCCGCAGCGCCTCCTGGGTTCGAGCCCAAAAAAGTAGCCTGGCGAAGGACCCAACCATCTGCAGCTGCGAGTGCCGCATTGTGGGTACCGCTGTCGGTGGAGCTCCATATGGGGCCACGCAACGTGCGAGGGGTGCGCTGAAATTGGTGTCGCGGACGCATGTGGACACCGCCACGAGGGCCTTTTGTGGAGCTCCGTGTGGGGCCACGAAACGTTGCCCAGGGTGGGGGAGACGCATGCGAACTGCGCCATTGGGACCTTCGTTGGAGCTCCCAACGGGGCCACGAAGCGCTGTCCTGGGTGGCGTTGACGCATGCGGGCCCTGCCACTTGAGCCTTCAGTGGAGCTCCCTATGGGGCAACGAAACGCTGTACTGGGCGGCGTTGACGCCCACTGTAGCATTTGGTGGAGCTCCCTATGGGGCCACGATGCGCTGTCTTGGGTGGCGTTGACGCATGCGGACCATGCCACCGGGGCCTTCGGTGGAGTTCCCAATGGGGCCACGAAAACGCTGTCCTGGGAGGCGTTGACGCAAGCGGGCCCTGCCACTTGAGCCTTCAGTGAAGCTCCCTATGGGGCAACGAAACGCTGTCCTGAGCGGCGTTGACGCATGCGGACCCTGCCACTGGAGCCTCCGGTGGAGCTCCCTATGGGGCCACGATGCGCTGTCCTCGGTGGCGTTCACGAAGCGCTGTTCTGGGTGGCGTCTTCGGTGGAGGTCCTTAGGGGCCACGAAGCGCTGTTGGCGCATGCGGCTTGTGCCACTGGAGCTCTCGGTAGAGCTCCCTATGGGGCCACGATGCGCTGTCCTGGGTGGCGTTGACGCCTGCGGACCCTGCCATTGGAGCCTTCGGTGGAGCTCCTTACGGGGCCACAAAGCGCTGTCCTGGGTGACGTTGACGCATGCGGCTTGTGCCACTGGGGCCTTCGGTGGAGCTCCCTATGGGGCCACGAAGCGTTGTCCTGGGTGGCGTTGACGCATGCGGGCCCTGCCACTGAAGCCTTAGGTGGAGCTCCCTATGGGGCCACGAAGCGCTGTCTTGGGTGGCGTTGACGCATGTGCTTTGTGCCACTGGAGCTTTCGGTGGAGCTCCCTATGGGGCCACGAAGCGCTGTCCTGGATGGCGTTGGCGCATGCGGCTTATGCCTCTTGAGCCTTCGGTGGAGCTCCCTATGGGGCAACGAAACGCTGCCCAGGGTGCCGTTGACGCATGCGGGCCCTGCCCCTAGAGCCTTCGGTGGAGTTCCCAATGGGGCCACGAAGCGCTGTCCTGAGTAGCGTTGGCGCATGCGGACCCTGCCACAGGAGCCTTCGGTGGAGCTCCCTATGGGGCCACGATGCGCTGTCCTGGGTGGCGTTGACGCATGTGGCTTGTGCCACTGGAGCTTTCGGTGGAGCTCCCGATGGGGCCACGAAGCGCTGTCCTGGATGGCGTTGACGCATGCGGCTTATGCCTCTTGAGCCTTCGGTGGAGCTCCCAACGGGGCAACGAAACGCTGCCCTGGGTGCCGTTGCCGCATGCGGGCCCTGCCCCTAGAGCCTTCGGTGGAGTTCCCAATGGGGCCACGAAGCGCTGTCCTGAGTGGCGTTGGCGCATGCGGACCCTGCCACAGGAGCCTCCGGTGGAGCTCCGTATTGGGACACGAAGCGCTGTCCTGAGTGGCGTTGACGCATGCGGCCTGTGCCACTGGGGCCTTCGGTGGAGCTCCTTTTGGGGCCACGAAGCGCTGTCCTTGGTGGCATTGACGCATGCGAACGGGGCCACTGGGGCCTTTCGAGCTCCCTATGGGGCCACGAAGCGCTGTCCTGGTTGGCGTCGACGCACGCGGCCTGTGTCACTGGAGCCTTCGGTGGAGCTCCCTCTGGGGCCTTCGGTGGAGCTCCCTATGGGGTCATGAACCGTGTGAGGGGTAGCTCCCTGTGGTGCCACGAACCGTGTGACGGGCGCGGCGCTGACGATGGCGATGGTGATGATCATGGTGATGTGGATCATGACGATGGCGATGATGATGACGATTATGCCGATGACGATGACGATGACGAGGCGGATGGGAGGAGGGAGGAGGGGGAGGAGGGAGGGGGCAGCGGGAGGAGGTGAGACGCGGGGCGCTGTCTCTTCAAAACGAGGACCCAACATCACAGGATAGTCGGGAACAAATGCAACATGCAAAGTGCACATTGAATTATTTGTCGACAGAGACGGCGGGGGGGGGCCCTCATTGGCCCCAGTTTGTCGCTGGTCAAATGGAGGTGATCGCGCATACTACACAGGAGCAGTGATGAACCTACCCCAACAGGGGAAGAAGGGGGGTTGGAAGAGGAAACTCGCTAAACCACCTCGCTGGATACATTATGGCAGCGGAAGAGAATTCGGGGAAGCAAGGGGGTGCTTTGGAAAGCCAGTCCGCGCGCCATCCACCCTACCACCCACCCGTACCCCATCTCCACCCATCCACCCACCTTTTGTCGATCCCGCCCGCCCGCCCGCCCACCCACCCAATATTCTGCCCGTCCGCCCACCCATCTCATCATTGTCCTCCTGGTGCTGCTCATCCTTCTCCCACCTCTTTGTCTGAGGAGTTAGGGCCTGAGGGTCCGTAATCAGATTTTGGCTCAAGCCAAATTATCTCATTTGATGGAACGCGTGTGACAGTCCTTGCCCATCGGCAACTAATATTGCTTGTCATGCTCAAGACTGCGTGTGCGCGCCGTCGTTTCGACATATCGTCTTGTCTTGCCGTTATTGAACCGCTTCGCTCACTCCGCCGGCCCCTATGGCGGGTCGTCGTCGACTGCCCGAGTGGTCGTTCGCGGTGCGGAGCTGCAGGGGCGGCCTCTGTTTTTACCAGGCTTTGCGTTCGGCATGTGAGGCTTCTTGGTGGTCGCTGGGGGAGTCTTGTACGCGTCGCGGGCCGTCTGGAAGCGTTTTGTCTATGGGGACTCTTTCGGGAGGCCTCTTGGTTGCCTCTTGGGGACTCTTAAACGCGCCGGGTCGTTGGCACATGCTTGCGTGCTCGGGGGGGCATTTGGGGGACCTCCTGGGGCCGCTTGGGGGCCGCTTGGGGGCCTCTTGGGGGCCTCCTGAGGGCCTGTTGGGGGCCTGTTGTGGCCTCGTAGGGGCCTCTTGGGGACTCTTGGGGGCTTCTTAGGGCCGAGGGCTCGACATGTTGTTTCGAGTTGCACCTTGGGGCCTCTCGTGGGGCGTTCTTGGGGCCTTCTTGGGCCGTCTTGGAGGCCTCTTGGGCCGTCTTGGAGCCCTCTTGGGCAGTCTTGGGGCCCTCTTGGGGGGCTCTTGGGCCCTCTGCAGCGGTCTTGGGGGCCTCTTGGGCCGTCTTGGGGTGTCGGGAAGCCGAAAAGGTTGAAAAGCCACAATCTGTCCAAAACCGCGTAGGGAAAGCAATGATTTTTGCCTCTTGGGGCCCTCTTGAGAGTGCTCTTGGAGGCCTCTTGGGCCGTCTGGGGGCCATCTTGGGCGTTTTGGAGCGATCTTTTTTTGGCATCTCGGAGCTCTTTTGTATCATCTTGAGGGGCTCTTGGCGGCCTCTTGGCCTTTCTTGGGGCTCTATGGACAGCCTCGAGGGCGGCGCCCAGGAGGAAAACCATCTCTGACCCGAGTCGCCCGGGACCTGCCCGGGGTACTTCTCGTCCGGGGACCCCCAGGGGCCGCCCCGCGCGCGCGAGGTAGAATTACTGTACTGCAATTACCGCAGATCTTAGCACGCCTCTGGCCCGTTAGGCCGGCGAATGCGAGGACGGGAGCCGCGGATCTGGTGGTCCAGATGTTGATCCAGCAAGCGTCTTTTGGTGCAGGGTACCGGTAATGATCCAGCACCAGTTGTTCACTATCAGGAGGATCGCATTGAGCTGTGTCCATCGTTGGCCCTGCCATGGAAAGGTTACCCCATGTGGTGGAGGGCAGCTCTCAGCACTGTTCTGTTCGTTCGTGAGTTCTTGGAGGGGGCCACCGAGCGGACCTACATTCGGCGAGGCTCTTGCAGCGTATGGAGCACAGGCCCAGGCAGGTCCTCTGGCGCGCCATTACACCTACGCGTTGCGCGGGTCGCAGACAGGACGTTGGTACATTGGTTCCAGAACGTGCCCGCCTGCGGTTTCTTCGCCTGAAGCGGACACAAGTTACATGGGGTCTTCAAGTGATTCGCAATTCAAGCAAGAGCGAATGCACAAGCTTATATTGACGAAGCATAACACGCGCGCCGATGTTGTAGAGGCGGAGTGTTTCTTCCACGAATTTTATAATGTAGCCGCAAATCGTGAGTTTGCCAACCGCGCACGGCAGACTTCAATTGGATTTAACCGTCAGGGGGCGCAGCACAATGAAAGCACAAAGCGGAAGATTAGCGAGACCCGACAAGGAAAGCTCCACAGCGAGGAGACGAAGCAAAAGATGAGTGCGGCTAAGCGTGGGGACCGAAACCCATTCTTTGGAAAGAAGCACAGTGAGGAGACGAAGAAGAAGATGAGCGAGACCCAGCGAGGAAAGCTCCACAGCGAGGAGACGAAGCAAAAGATTAGTGCGGCCTTGCGTGGGGACCGACATCCTTTCTTTGGAAAGAAGCACAGTGAGGAGACGAAGAAGAAGATGAGCGAGACCCAGCGAGGAAAGCTCCACAGCGAGGAGACGAAGCAAAAGATCAGTGCGGCCATGCGTGGGGACCGACATCCTTTGTTTGGAAAGAACCACAGTGAGGAGACAAAGAAGAAGATGAGCGAGACCCAGCGAGGAAAGCTCCACAGCGAGGAGACGAAGCAAAAGATGAGTGCGGCCATGCGTGGGGACCGACATCCTTTCTTTGGAAAGAACCACAGTGAGGAGACAAAGAAGAAGATGAGCGAGACTCGGCGAGGAAAGACCCCCAGCGATGAGACGAAGCAAAAGATGAGTGCGGCTAAGCGTGGGGACCGAAACCCTCTCTTCGGAAAGAACCACAGCGAGGAGACGAAGCAGAAGATGAGTGCGGCTAAGCGTGGGGACCGAAACCCTCTCTTTGGAAAGAGCCACAGCGAGGAGACGAAGCAACAGATTAGTGCGGCTAAGCGTGGGGACCGAAACCCTCTCTTTGGAAAGAACCACAGCGCGGAGGCAAAGAAAAAGATGAGCGAGATCCGGTGAGGAAAGACCCTCAGCAAGGAGACGGAACAACTATTAGCCTGACGAAGGACCCAACCATATGCAGTTGCGAATGCCGCATTGTGGGTACCGCTTTCGATGGATCTCCCTATGGGGCCACGAAGCGTGCGAGGGGTGTGCCGAAATCGGTGGCGTGGACGCATGTGGACACCGCCACTAGGGCCTTCGGTGGAGCTCCCTATGGGGCCACGAAACGCTGTCCTGAGTGGCGTTGACGCGTGCGGCCTGTGCCACTGGGGCCTTCGGTGGAGCTCGCTATGGGGCCACGAAGCGCTGTCCTGAGTGGCGTTGACGCGTGCGACCTGTGCCACTGGAGCCCTCGGTGGAGCTCCCTATGGGGCCACGAAACGCTGTCCTGAGTGGCGTTGACGCATGCGGCCTGGGTCATTGGAACCTTCGGTGGAGCTCCCTATGGGGCCACGAAACGCTGTCCTGAGTGGCGTTGACGCATGCGGCCTGTGCCACTGGAGCTTTCGGGGCATCGAAACGCTGTCCTGGGTGGCGTTGACGCATGCGGCCTGTGCCACTGGGGCCTTCGATGGAGCTCCCTACGGGGCCACGAAACGCTGTCCTGGGTTGCGTTTGCGCATGCGGCCTGTGCCATTGGGGCCTTCGGTGGAGCCCCTTATGGGGCCACGAAACGTTGTCCTGGGTGGCGTTGACGCATGCGGCCTGTGCCACTGGAGCTTTTGGTGGAGCTCCCTATGGGACCACGAACCGTGTGAGCCCGCTGGGGCCTTCGATGGAGCTCCCTATGGGGCCACGCGCCGTGTGAGTGGTGTGCCAGAATGAGGCGGCGGTGCCATGCGGACGCTCCCGCTGGGGCTTTCGGTGGAGCTCCCAAGGGGGCCACGAACCGTGTGAGGGGTGTGCCGAAATGGGGCGGCGGTGCCATGCGGACGCGCTCCCGCTGAGGCCTTCGGTGGAGCTCCCTATGGGGCCACGACTTATGCGAGGGATGTGCTAAAATGGGGCGGCGGTGACGGACGCATGCACCTGCTGCCACGTTGGCCTTCGGGGGAGCTCCCTGTGGTGCCACGAACCGTATGAGGGGCGCGGCGCTGACGATGGCGATGGTGATGATCATGATGATGTGGATCATGACGATGGCGATGATGATGACGATGATGACGATGACGATGACGACGACGAGGCGGATGGGAGGAGGGAGGAGGGGGAGGAGGGAAGGGGCAGCGGGAGAAGGTGAGACGCGGCGCGCTGTCTCTTCAAAACGAGTACCCAACACCACAGCATGGTCTGAAAAAAGCTTGGCCCCCACCTCATCATCCTCCTCCTCCGCCTCCTCCTCCGCCTCCTCCTCCGCCTCCTCCTCCGCCTCCTCCTCCGCCTCCTCCTTCTCCGCCTCCTCCTCCTCGACCTCCTCCTCCTCCTCGACCTCCTCCTCCTCCTCCTCCTCCTCCTGGGACCCTAAAAAAAGCTTGGCCCCCACCTGGCTGGGGTCTTGAGCGAGACGATTACGGAGTAGAGAGGGCAATGGAGGACAGAGAGAGAGAGAGGGAGCATTGGGCAGGGCGCAGCCACGACCGATGCGAAAACCCTTTCTTGTTCACGATCGTCCAAGTTTTCCCCTCACATCTCCGCAGCGCCTCCTCATCTGGCGGATCGATGCCGAAAGGCTTCCGACGTCGACCTGGCCTCTCAGGCGAGCTTCTGCCTCCTCACCTTCCTTCGCCTCGACATGAAAGTGCTTAGGCCACCTCCCGCGATTTTACTGGTCCGTCTTGGTGGCCCGAATGTTGATGACGACCTCGTCTGCTCCGAGCCAGCTCCTGCATGGTTCGCCTCCTGTCTCCAGCGCGACGTCGAGCCGCGTGAGCGCCGCAAAGACGGCCGCCGCCGCACTGCACTCCAATGTGTGTAGTGGCTGCATCGCGGCGCTAGCCTGCGCCGGCCGCATCGCGCGGCGTTGGGCGCGCTAGCCGGCGCCGGCTTCCGCCGCGCGGCCCGCGCGACCCCCCTCTCAGGAGTCGCCGCCCGCACTGGAGGGGGGACCTGGCCCTGCCGCTTTCCAGCGCTGCTCTGGGCCTGGCTGGCCCGGGTCGAGCAGGCGAGCTATGGCGCCGCCCGCCCAGCTCCATTACATGACCGAGGAACTCCACATACTTAGTTTCATCCTTGTGCAATCATGCATTTTGGCTATCCTGCGCCGGCCGCATCGCGCGGCGCTGGGCGCGCTAGTAGCCTGCGCCAGCCGCCGCCTCGCGGCCCGCGCGACGCCCCCTCAATTACATGACCAAGGAACGCCACATACTTAGTTTCATCCTTGTGGAATCACTCTTCACGCGCGTAGCATCCTGACTTCTGCGCGCTGCGAGGCGGTCACCGAGGGCCATTTCCTGGGACGGCATAGAGTGAGCCTTCTATCCCTTCCCTCCTGCAGCTTTCTCCCTCCCCTCCTCCCTCCCACTCTTCCTCCCTTAGATCGGCCAATTTGTCTTCTCGCATCTCCCACGGCTCTGACAACGTCTCTGCGGCGGAGAGTCTCCGAGCTGCGCGCGCAAGGAAATGGCGAGCCAACACCCGCTCTCGGCATGCAGAACTTGGGAGTGCCCTTCGATGGAAAATCTCTGGGTTACGGCTGGCATGAAGAAATCAGATGGGCGGGCATTGCGAAACGTCCAGGAGCGAAGCGAGCAGCGCGACGTCCACGCGGCTGGACAGCGTTGCTTTTGTCGGAAAGACTCCTGCGCCCCGTTCTGTCAGAGCAACGCGGGCCTCGCAATTGGAGCCATCCAGAGTCCGCGCGGACCGCGTTCACCTCTACGGCCGCTGTGGACGCGCGCGGGCCTGTGCGCTCCAACGACCTCACGCCGCCGGCAAGATCCGCTGGCGCTCCAGAGCGAGGGCCTCGATCTCCCAGCTCTCCTAGGGTATGCGCTCACCGAGTTGTTGGAGGGCTTTGAGCACGGATGGAGGCGGGAATCTGTTCAAGACTTCCCTCGGCGGTGGCCGGAGCAAGAGCACGTCGTCCACGCAGGTGGTTCTGCTGAGCATCGCGTGCCTTGTCAGCCACCTGATCTCCGCTGTGTCCTCCGGTCTGCCAATGCTCGCGCCCCGCGCGCAGTCGATGCGAACGCTTCGCCGGAGGCACCCCCTCGGCGCGGCGAGGGGGGGCGGGGGTCACCGAAGGCCGTTTGACGGAGCGGAGCGCGGAGGAAGCGCCTCAAGGTACAGGCGCAACTTTTGCGCGCAAGGATTCCGAGCTGCGCGCGCAGCCGAGAAAACGTCAGAAGAGCCCTTCGACGGAGAGTCCCCGGGAGCGCCCTTCGACGGAAAATCTCTCTTAGCGGCGGCGCTCCAGCGACCTCGCGCCGCCGGCAGGGAGACCCCAGAGGCCCCCAAGATGGCCCCGAGAGGGCCCCAAGACTGCCCAAGAGGGCCCCCCTTCTTTGCTGTCCCCTTCGCAGGCCTGACGCTGCTGCCCACTGCCGCAGCCATATTGCCACGGCGAAGACGACGCAGACAAAGACGAATCCAGGAACGCAGCGTTGTATCTGGTTCGCTTTTCACCAACTGCGTCCTGGACGTTTCACTCCATGGTTCCTCGCGGCCCTGAGCGGGCCCGAACCCTTGGCCTTGTTATTGTCCTTGTTCGTGCCGTTGCTTTTGACTTGCCTCCCAGGGGGAGGGGGTCCATGCTCTTGTTTTTGCCCTCGTCGTGCGGCAATGCTGCTGGCCCGCAGTTTGCGTCGTCGGCGTTGCTGCCCAGCATTTCCTTGCCCTTGTCCTTGCGCTTGACCTCGCTGCCTAGGGGGCCCAGGCCTTTGTTTTTGCCCTCGTCCTTCGGCGATGCTGCTGGCTCGCATGTACCCCAGTGCTCGTCGTCGCTGGGGCCTTTGACCAGCGCGCCCATGTTCTTGTCATTGGTCGGGCCCGCGCCAGGCCCTTGCCCGAGCCCTTGGCCAGGCCCTTGTTTTTTGGCTTTTCCCGCGGCCGAGCCGAAGCGGATAGGGGGACGACCCCCAGCGCACGTTTGGTGGTGTCGAGGAAGTGCCACGCCTGGCACGCTTTGCAAGCCCGAAGCGGATACAGGGACGACCCCCAGCGCACCCCCCAGAGGTGTCGAGGAAGCGTTACGCGTGTCACGCTTTACAAACCCGAAACGGATAGCGGGACCCCCCCCAGTGCACCCCCACGTGGTGTCGAGGAAGTGCCACGCTTGCCACGCCCTGCGAGCCTCTTCCTCCTCTTCCTCCTCCTCCTCCTCCTCCTCCTCCTCCTGCTCCCCTCCTCCATTTCCCCTTCCCCTTTCTCCTCCTCCTCTTCCTCCCCCTCCTCCTCTTCCTCCTCCTCCTCCTCCTCCTCCTCCTCGTCCTCCTCCGGACGGTACCCGTACTGCTACCGTTCCCTCGTGTACCATCGAATCGCGATGAGAGGAGGCCTCTTGTGCTGTGCCCCCCCTCCCCCGCGCGCCAGGCGGATGTGCCATCGGGCTGGCCCGAAGGCGGTCCGGCCGCTCGCGCGCGCGCGCCTCGTTCGGCCGCACGACGACGATGACGGCGCCGACGCCTCGTCCGGCCGCACGTTCAGACCAGGGGCCTTGGTACCGCTGGGACGTGTGCATTTTTTCTCGGCGGGGATTATGAAGGAGCATCCTGGATCATCCTGCGAAAAAACACGCACATGACCGAACAAAAACACAGGGAATGGACGTCCGAGCGATGGCCAGGGGCGGCCCAGAGGGGGACTACGGTTTGGAGGGGATGACTACAGCCGGACCGAGGCACAAGATCGAGGTCGGCGCTGGGAGGGGGCCCGAGCGTTCTTCGTGGTTGGTGGGTGGTCTTGTGCACCCTGGGGTGCGTACCCTTGGATCTGATGTGTGTTTTGGCCGGCGGAGGGTCTCGTGTTCTTGATGGACGTTTTTTTTTTTTGCTTAGGTCCGACTGCAGGGGGGATCTCACGGCCGGGGCTATGAGATCTCCTCAGATTTCATTTTTTTTTTCACTACGTCCCCTGGTCCCCCCCCCTGGTTCGCGCACATGCCTCGGGCCATGATTCGCCAGCACCCCTCTTGGACGCCCCCCTCGATGGAAGCTCCCGAGTAAGAGCG